TCCCTTGATAATTAATCATGGGGACCTTTTCTTAATGCCCTCAGTTTCTGCTTGCTGCTGTTCAGTCAGCAATTCTTCTTACCATTAAATTGATACCCCTAGACCAAAGCCCAATTGTCCATTCCTGTGCCAAAAAATGACAAACTGAACATTCATGCAAGAATTACATTCTGGTCACCATTTCATGCTCCCCATTGCGATCATTACAAAAAACTTCCTCCCAGAGAACTCAGTATTATGAAAGGAAAAAATTAACTTAGTAGCCATGAACATAAACCATAAGTAAATGACATCATACTTCATGCCCAAGACTAAGTCAAGAAGAAAAGAAAAGAAAACAAGAAGTAAATCTCATTCACCCACAAGGGACACAGCAGCTGAGGAAACAGAGCAAGTCAAATAGAGACCAGTCTTTCTTACCTAACCTATCTGTGATGTTTGCTTTTCATTCCAAAATTAAATGGTTTTGTTAGTGTCTTTATACCATATCAATTGTAACACAGATCACCGTTTAAGATAATTACAATCAGCTTTCAACAATGTGCTTAGAATGACTACAGAATACATAGAACAAACAAGGAAAGAAAACTCTTCTGGATGGTATCAGAATAAAGCTGGAAATAAAGATGGTGTTGTAACTTACAAACTACCCAAAACATTTTAAAGGTATGTAGATACAATGGAGTTCAGTACTCTAGAGAAGGCTACACTGATAGATAACTGAAAGATGAATACAAATTGCTTGCAGGCAAATCCCCCAGAATACTATGTCACTTCAGGGAAGAATCCTATAGTCAAGAAATAATACAATACTGTCCTTACACAGATTGCCTGCCCATCTTCTCCTTTAAGACAAACTTTATTTAATGTCTAATGTCCTGCAGTCTGTATCCAGTAAGGACCTACTAAGAAGCACTTGTTCCAATGAAAGCATAGATTCAGACAAGAAATGAAAAAAGGATCATACAATAAGATACAAAACCATATAGCTGTCTTGAGTTCAAGGCCCCCCAGAGCCTAATGGCTCACTGACTAGCAAAGTTAAGGCACATCAGCTTTTGTAGCCAAGAGCACATAAGGGAGCAATGTGGCTCATATCACATTTAACCCCCAACCCAAGTGACCAAGTACTTATATTCAGCTAGGGACAACCTTTGACATGAGTCCAAAACAGGGCTTGTACTCATGCCTCAGAAGTCATAGTAAGACATCTTCACAGTCTTGCCAACACACCCACATATGACTGTTTCATAACTAAAATATTGTTAGGGCCTGTATTTCACATAGGACTTATTTAACTCTTCTGATATTTACATTATGCTCTACTATACAAAAAAAACAGGCATACAATGTTAGGAGCGATACTGGTGTGTTTATTACTCAGTCTTTTGAAAAATCCATTTTGCTTAGGACTTTTGATATTTACACTTTTTAGTTTTATCTAGTGTTAAAAAAACAGGGTTGTGTTAGATATTCTTTATAGGGTTAATCATTAAAAACCCTATTTTACAACCCCCAACACACACACACACACACACCTTCAAGTGATGCAAGTAATTCTGTTATAGCTACTACTGAAACTGTGCCTCTATTTAAGTAAATATTGCTGTTTTTATTTACAACCTTGGTTACCATCTCACCTACGTGGTCCAGTCAAAGACCAGAATCCCACTGCTCCAGTCATAGGCAGATCTAGGATTCTGAAAAGTGGGGTGGCAGATGGCATGGTGTATGGGTGCATATAACACAACACATTTTTCTACAGGTAGAAAGAAACTAGAAGCTTTGATAATGTAGTAAGGGCCTAAGACTATATTACTCAATTTAAGACAGAAGCAAGAACAAAAGTAACTTTATTGGAATGTGCAATAATTTTCTATACCATACATTATGTATTAAAAAACATGACAAACTTGACAAGCTAGGCAAAAATAGTCAAAAGATGTTGTTTCTTTGGTCCTGTAGTCATTAAACGTATATCTCTTTCTGATTCATAAAACAAAATCTAGCCTTCTTGAGCATCTTGACAGTACACCCAATGTCTCAAAGAAAATTATTTCCAAACCTAATTCAGTTTCCACACCTGAGTTTGTTTCTAACTTTAGTTAAAAACACTGTCTGAAGGGCTGTGAAACAGGAACTACATTACCAGAAGCACCTAACAGATAGCAGAATTGCCAAAGAAAGAATAGCTTGATAAAAGGAATATTAAAACCATTAAAAAAGGAGGCAGGGTCATTAACATCTGTGGAATGAAGAGTTTAGAAAGGATCAAGTAGATTATGAGCCATGAAGTCCTTCATGACTGCCTAAATAGAAATGCTGCTGCCACTCCCAGAATTTTAAATTTTGGGTGGAGTGGGAATCAAACTAGGGTGCAACTGCAGCACAGCATCCCGCCCTAATCCGCCACAGTTCAAACAAATAATAAGGTGGCAGCTTCCACCCCGGTTTACAGTCCACAAACAGCCACTTTCATTTGACTTCAGTGAAGCCAGTTTCACTCTGTTTCTTCAATGAAGTTACTTACATTGTGTAAATACTATACTAAGCATGGGTCTAAGTCTACAGGATTTGGGGCTGTAACCTAAATTACAGTGTAAATGTGCCAATTTTCAATAATATCATCTCTTTCTCTTCTCTCAGCCTCTCATTGTTTTTTTGACTTTTTACACTAAATATCAAGCTCATCTCCCCTGAGGGTAGTAGGCAGGTTGCATTTGGCAACACATCTGGAGAGAAAACAGGCATTGGTTTGAACCTAACAAATTGTACAAGAATATACAGCATATTTAGCCATGCAGTAAAAGAAAAATTTCAGGACAAAAAAAAAAAAGTCCTGAACACAAGTATGGTCAGTGAGGTTTAGATCGCATCCTATGAAAGACTACTTATATAGACTCACCATAAACTGAGCAACTGCCTTAATGAAGAAGACCCGGTCCTGCTCTGTCTCAACATCAGAAGGAATATCGGTCTGTGGTTCATACCTGTGGGAGGGAACATGCAGAACATCTTTTTTTTATTAGCAGGTACCAATACATTCACAAGAAAAAGTCAAGAATCATGTGAATGAGCACCAGCAAACTAAGTATTCAGCTTCTAATGCAGATGGAGAAACAGTAGATCAATATCTAGGATCTGTATATGTAAATTATATCTGAATATGTAAATTAGGGAAGCATAAAAATTGTAAGAACTATAAAGCTTAGGGCATCTTTGCAAAGAGGATGTCAAACTCAGATCCTGAATCTTACTTTGTGGCTTATTATGAGGGAACAGAAATATTTAGCTCCCTTAGCTAAATCCATTTTAAGGCTTGGATTTAGGCTTTAGATCAAAAGAATATTTATGATGACAGATTATTTACTAATTTTTTCTTTTCTTTTTTTTTTTTAAACAAAACTACACAAATAAACTAAACCTATTCCTACTAGGTTCAACTACCTGATTTAAAAAGACAAAACAGTGATCAACTACACATTCCTAACCTACAGGACAGTATACTAAAATGATCAATAGCAAAACAGTTAACAACCACTCTCACAATTCTCAATTCACAAACTTCTTCCAAAGATGAAACAACTTAATGAAGAGTTATCTTTGTTACACTAGAAACCATTTCTTAATGAAAGTTTACACTTCAAAGCAGCAGTGCAGGGAAGCGGCTGGACACCCAAGACAAAATGGAAGCCGCAACTTATGGTTGCTGCCGCAATCACAAATATGAACAGGTGGTTACTGGCAGCATCTGCTTTTGGTTTTTTTTGCACACCTCCCTTCCAACTTGGAACCCAGGGTGGTTGCTCTTGTCATCCCTCCTAATTGCACCACTACTTCGTAGCACATGATTCTGCCAATGAGTGTTCTGTAACAAATTCTGTAACCACAGAATTGGGGAAAATAGTTTCACTTATCATTTACCACTGCCTCCAAAATAAAACTTCCCTGATGCCTGAATAATAGATAAACATTTTACATTTTATAGCACCTTTCATCTTGTAGGATCCTAAAACACTTTGTGAGTGTTCAAAAAAACCATAACACTGAAATGGAGCCACCTTTAGAGAGTGACCACCAAGTAACTGGCAAATTGTACATTATACACAAGGACACATCAAAGAAGAGGAAACTGGGAAAATCACCTGTCCCACCTCTCTCAAAAAGTGCAATGAGATCTTTTAATATTCACATGGAACAGAGTGTCCCCTCTTTTAAATCTCATTTCAAATTCAAAACAAATCAAGTCTAAATTAACCTCTCTGCTTTGCAATGCAATTATAAGGCTCTTGGAAGCAAGAAAAGCTGACTTACTGGTTGCCTTGTGTAATTTTGGCTAGTACAACCCACCAAATAAAGCCCAATAGCTTTCCAACTGCCTGGGATGTAAATGAAGCACTTCATTTACAAGCACAATACTTCCAATCTCATTATAATATCCAAGTTAAAGCACCTGAAGCTGTTCAGTTTAATTGGAATAATACTTCTTACACCTATAAAAAAAAAAAAACAGCGTTCTCTGGTGTAACGAAGAGTCATTCTACCTGTTCTTTTGACCGAATCTTGGAGGCAAAGTTTCTGATTTTAATTTGAACGGAAAAGGGCAAGTAAATTAAGCTCCAAACGCAGGTGTGTAGGGAAAAGAGAGGGTATTACATTCCTTAAGACCTGATCTTATTAAAAAAAGTGTCATTTTTTTTTCAAAATTTAATCAAAACAGTTTTTTCAAATGGTTTATATATACCCCTACAATACCCACAACCCAAATATTACTGCAAGTGAAACTTACTTAAAATGAACTATAACTGAATGTGGGAATATAAAAATACAAAAACAAAGAGCAACAATGGTCAAGGCTAAATTTCTACCTGTTGTAACAGGATAAGAACAAATGTTCCCATTTCATACATGTGTATAAAGGGACAACGTGTATGTATCTGTATGTGTGGCTTCATCTACCAAACCAGGTTCACAGATGTTATAACTCAGTGGAGATTTATGGATTATAAATGAGGGGTAATTTAAAGGCAAATCAGGAGCATAATTTTAACCAGGCCCTGGTACCAGATTTTTAAATGAATATGGTGCTGGTATAACACAGGGGTCGGAAACGCTTTCAGGCTGAGTGCTAAAAAAAACCCACCACCTCAAATTGGAACATGTTGGCATGCTGGGGTGGGTACCAGGGAAGTCACAAGGGGTTTGATCTTTGTTGCAGCAGTGCAACCCTGGCCCCTTCCCCACCATGCTCCCTGAGGCACACGTGCAGCCACCACTGGCAACAAGCCAGACCCAGTCTTGGGACCCCAGTGCAGTTGCTTGCAGGCTTGCAGCTGCCTGCTGCAAACAGCCCAGGCTCTGGCTAGGCCCCTGCTACCTGTCACGGAGCCAGGGCTTCTCACAGCAGGGCCTGCAACCTCCCCACCTCCTGCTGTGAGCAGCCCAGGCTCCAAACTTCATGCTAATTTCAGAAGAGCCAGGGCCAGCTGTGGCACACTGAGCAAAATGGCTGGGGGTTGCCAACCCCTGGTATAACACATCCTCTTCTGGTCACAAATATTTTGTTTTCAATATACCACATTTACCTGAGTCCAAGAAGGCAGAGGGGCTCATCTTGGATTTGAGTACTGGCCCAGAGCACACATTGCTGAACCACCACCTTCCACAGGCCAGAGTGGTTTGTTTGGCAGGGGGAGGGGCTCACAGCCAGGGGAACATGGGGGAGACTGCAAAATGAAAAGGAACCTGCAGCCTGCTCCCACCCACCACCCTCAGTGCCTGTGCCTGCCCCCCACTACCCTCTGCTCCTCTCCCTTGAGCTGCCTCCTCCTCCTTACCTTCTGTTCTAGTCCCTCCAGCCGCAACCTGCCCCTGGCACCACTTCTCCCTGGGCAGGCCAGGGCTGCATTACTGCTGAAGGCCCCAGGGGAGCAGAGCTGCAACAGAAGGTAAAGGGCTGGTGGGAAGGGAGTGGGTGGGCAGGCTACAGAGGGGAGTAGAGGGTCAGTGGCTGGGAGTGTACGGAATCTAATTATTCAGAGGGTCATCTTAAATTCAAAGTTGCCTTGGATTTGGGTGAATATGGTATGTAAAACACATAAAAGCTAGATTGAAAACCATGAATCTTCTTTTTGGAAAACTCACCAACCTGCAACCTGTTTTTAGTTCAACTAACTGACTCAAATTTTAGGGGTCTATCTTTAAAATATACAAGCTCAAGAAAATTTCTCTCTGGCACGGGCCAGCAATCTTTGTTTAGCAGCAAGCTCGGATAATCCAGCTTGGGTCCAAGGCAGGACAACACTAGGTCCCAGCCATCGCTCCTCCCTGCTGCCCAAATATGGCCCAGGCAAAGCTCCCCATCACCTAGCTGTGGCATGGGCAAGGCCCCCCATCGCAAAGACTGCTGAAGACACCCTCCCCACCACCCAGTTCTGCTAGCCAAATCCAGTGGCTCTATAAGCAATATTTGGCTCACAGGCTGCAGATTGCTGACCCCGATCTAGGGAAAAAACCTTTCAACTAGGCAAAAAACAGATGACTTAGGAGGCACAGAATGAAAAAAAAACAGAAGGCTGGAAGGGACCTCAAGAAGTCACCTAACCTAAACTCCTGTTTGAGGAAATCATCCCTACCTAAAACATACTTACCCACGTTATTTGCCTCTCTGGAAAAGTTATATTATTGTATTCATGACACATACAGATCACTGAAGGCACAAACTTGGTACTTAAAATGCAAACTTAGTAACCATATGTTCCTACCTAACACTCAGAACAAGATCTCTCTCAAAATGACTGAACTCCTAATTTCATCAAGTCCCTCTTTAAAACCCTTAATACAGTTCCATATCAAAGTATCAGCTCCAAAAGTCTCATTAATGTCACGTTCCTATGTCTGAATTGGTATGCACTGTTGCACTGGAATAAACCACCAACCTTTTCACCAGCCAAAGAAGCATTTCTGAAATTAGCATGAAGTTTGGAGTGCGGAAATTCTCCATGGAGATGAGCCGTGGGTACCCCAAAGCCCTCATCATCTCAGTGAAATCTGAAAAACAAGCACAAGCACAAAAATCACCACAGCCAGCACAGATATCCCAAAGAGCTCATGTCCCACAATGTTCTGCTTATGTTGCCAATAAATACACTGATAGAATTAGCTTCCATAAAACTCCCAAAGGGATCAAAGAAGAAAAATAATACCAATTTACTTTTAAAAAAGTGACTTTTCACATAAGAAATGTTCCTAGTAGAGATTAAAAAAAAAATCTTAAAATGATTTACTTTTTAAAAAGTATAATCTTAAATAAAACTGATAAAATATCACCACTCCGCAATATAACAATAACGTCGTTTCAGCCCTTGGCATGGAGTGGATAGTCACTGAAAGGATGCCTTGCATCATCCTACATCAAACTCTACAAGCTGACCTAAGGAAGACTGATGATGTTCGAAAGTGTCACTGATGGTGTTAAGAAAGGGATATCCAAAGGAAATCTGTAATGAAACTCCTTCCATACCTATCTACTCTAATACAGGAACCATCCCCTGAGGCTTCAAAGCAAAGTTTCAAAAAGATGAAAAGATGACCTGTCCTATTGTGCAATGTCAAACAAGGGAAAGGGAGAGAAGCATACTCCAGCCCCAACATATTACAGCAACCACTATACCAGAAAATATCAAGGTACCAGCAGCATCATAATGCAGGTCAGCAGCCAGACAATGACAAATACTCAAAATATGCTGATACCCTTTCCAACCTGTGTGTCACACCAATTTAGTGTCACCATCTGCCGCATATTTAGTGGGATATCCCAGTTTTCACAGTAACAGTTCCCTCTCCCTGCTGGAACGTGGGGCGATGCTCTTTCCACTACAGCGGTGCAAGCGCCGCCAAGAAGCTACACCGTGTCGCTGCGACCCATGGCGTGAAATTCGAGGCACTCCCCCAAGCCCTGCGTGGCAGATCGAGGGCACGTGGCAAGGGCGGGTGACAGGCTTGGCATGGGGCTCGGCACGGGGCGCGAGGGCACAGCGCACCCCGAGCGGCGCCAGGCGAAGGAAAGCACGGGGCACCGCTGCCACGCGCCAGGCTCGGTGCTTCGGGGCTGGCGAGCGCCATGAGGCCGTAGTGCGCCAGCAAGCCGGACGGGCGCGGGACGGGCGCGGGAGCAGCCCCGGCGAGGGCAGGGCGCTGCACGGCGCACGGGGCTCGAGGGCAGCGGGACGACAGCGCGACCCGGGCACGTGGCGGGGGCACCGCGGAGCGCGGGGGCAACCCCGCCCCTGGGCCTGTAGCCCCCGGAACTGCAGCAGCCGCGGAACCCGCCCCGCGCGGCTTCCTCACTCCGGAGGTCGCGGAATGACATGGTAGCTCCGGCTCCGCCGCCGTGAGCCCAGGTTCTCCAGACGCCGTTCCCGGAGCAGGCCGCACGGCTTCCGTCTCTATGGCAACCACTCTACGGCGCGGCGCCTGGCCCAAACTGCGCCCGCTCGGAGGGGAGGGGAAGGGCGGGGCCGCTCGGGGCTGGGCTCGGTGGTGGAGGAGGGCGGCAGCTGGGAGGCGCCGTTAGGGCCCCGAGCTGCGCGTGCTCCCGGCTGGGGCGCGGCCCGGCTCTAGTGCCCCGTGTGCTGGCACCTGCTCGGGCTCAGGCCCCGTCCAGGACCCGGTAACTAGGGCAGGTCTCGCGGACCCGAGGCGGGCTCCCAGCAGCACAGGCGCTGCCCGGTCACTGAGGCTCAGCCCTGTGTTGTCCTGTGCTTTGAGGCCTAGGCCATCGCTGGACGTCTGTGCGAGCGCGAACGGGAAACAAGCCACGTCCCCAGGCTACCCTGTCCTCCTCCCCCAACCTCATTCTCTCCCGCCTTCCAGTGGCACTGACTGATCCTGTCACCGCCGTCTCATAACGGGAGGCGGGCAGAGGCTGGCAGCTACCGAGGTTGTGCCTACAGACCCCTTATCTGGGCGGGGAGAGATGGGAGAGTAAGGCTGATGTTACATAAGGACAGGGTGGTACTTCTGCTAACGCTTTGTGGTTTCAAACGTCCTACAGGAATGGGGGACCTGACCAGATGACTTCACAGGCTGGGGGCAGCTGCTGCTCCTGCTGGTAGCAGCAGCAGCATCAGGGTGTGAATGAGCCCAGTTCAACCGGTACAAGCACTGTGTGATCCCCAAGGCAAAGGGCCTGAGACATACACAAAACAAGGGCATGGAAAGAACCCCTTATCTCTGTACAGATATAGACATAGTTATATTAGAAAAAAGTTGGCAGCTGACATGGTCAAGTTAAGTAAAACAATTAAAGTTCCTATTTCTAGCCCTATGAGGTTACAGCACATCAGCCTTTATATATGAGATAGATTAGGTATTGGCCCTCCTTGACTTCTGACAGGTAGAGGGAATGGAAAGGGGGGTTGTCTGTCATGCTTTTGTAATACCTGGATTCATGAGTGGATTTCAGCGAGGCATGATATTGGTATGTTAACTAGAGCAATCAGATAAATAAAATTATATGGAATATGAATGCAACTTGTCTGAGGCAGTTGCACTTTTTCATATGAATATCCCACCACAGCATATACCGGTGTATAGATTCACTCTAATATTATTAAACCCTAAGTCTGCCTGTCACTAACACTTTATGCATGCTCTGATTGGCTGACGGAAATAGCCAATCAGAGTACTCCAAGCCTGGGGAGTGCCACCATGATTCTGAAGGTGTGCTGAGCACTGGACAGAGGGTGGACCAGACCACTACCTGCAAGCGGCACCAAGGACCAGACAGGGCGTGTGGGAGCCCTGTGCATGCCCAGAGGAGCAAATTGCTTCAACCTGGCTTGCCTGACTTCTGTAAAGACTGGGTGCTTTAGTGGGTTTTTTTGAGCCTTTTATCTAATGGCTGATTGAATCAACTGGAGGTGTTCAAGAAGAGGTTGGACAGCCCCTGGTCAGGGATGACGTAAGCAAAGCTATGCTTATTATGGGTGTTTTCCATGCTTCTGGGCTTTGCTGGTTACCTTTTGCCCTGCCCCCCCAATTTCCTGCTACACATCAGGGTGTTTTTAAGCCTTCCCAGAAGCATTGGGTGTTGGCTACAGCCAAGGCTGGGAACTTTGACTGGGGTGTGCTAATGCTTCTGCTGGGACCAAATTCCTGGCTACAGAGTCTTGCCCCTCCACTCAGGGTCAGACCAATTACCATTTTTGGGGTCAAGAAGGTATTTTACTCCATGATATCAACTGTTAGGGTCTCTAGCGAGGGATGTAGCCCTCTACCCAGGATATCTTGAGCATATTGTTACCTGTGTGCTCTGTGTTCCTGGGGAACCCTGGCGCAGTACCCAGCCTGTATGAGTCACGAAGGACACAACCCTCCCCCCCCCACCACCACCACTTGTGCCTGAACCAGAACTGATCAGAAAAAGGACTTACAAAAAGCAATGAAGATGCAGTGGGAGACGCACCTAAACCCCTCTGGACAAAGTTGACAGGCGACTCCCATAGTCTCATCTGCATCAAAGATGGGACAGGGAGGCATCTCCATTAGCACTCAGAGCAGAGAAAAGAGATTCCAAGGTGAGAACCGCACTGAACTCTGGGGCCAGAAAAGCAGGGGAGCAGTGCATGATGGGGGATCTCTGCTGCAGATGTTAATCAACCCATGCCTGCATACACCAGGCCCAGCAGTTATCAGACCAGTTCTGGTGATGAATCCTTTATTGGTACCCAAAATACTGAATCCGCCTGATTGCACTGTGAGCTCCCTCGGAGTAACACTGGCCATAGCCAGGAATGATCATTTCCTATTGTCCAGCATAAACAAAACAACTCTAGTAAACTCCCTTGAGACATCACCTACCCATAAACAAATCAAGTGTTCTTCCTTGAACCATTGTCGTTTCTCTGTAAGAACCACTACCCAAACCCAACTTCCTGTTCTGGTGCTTGGATCCAAAAGCTGCACCAGTTCCACTGGGACTTCACCTTCTCCTTTTTCTGCCTGGAATACCTTCGCTGATCATGCTGGGGGCTCTGCCTGTCTCAAGCACCCTGGACCCTAAACTGAACAGCTTGTCTACAAGCTCCAACATACACTTGGGAACCTCGACCAATTCAAGCTTCACTGAGTGATAAGACTCCATCTCTCTCTCTCTCTTTGTTTAAGTTCACTTCTAAACCTCAGACCTGATTTAATCTCTCTCTCTCCCCTTCTCTCTTCCTCCAGGCATAGCTTTCTAAACCTGACTTTTGTTGATTAAACTTGAGCTAGATTTCCCAAATACCCAACTGAAACCGGGTAATATTGTAACTCTGGTTTGGTTAACTCTCCTTGTATAGCTATTGCTACTAGTGTCATTATAAGTTTCATATACCTGGCATTACATAACATTTATGGTCACACCAGGTTGCCATACTCTCTCCGAACCTCATTTACTGTTTCTTTTCCTCAACTTCCCCATTTGCTCTGCAGCAATGCTTCTGTTACATAAGCCAAAGATCCCTTTAACACTCAAAAATCCGGTGGGGTCCACTCATCAAGAGAGTTACCACCAGGACAATTGCTGAGTCCGTGGTATATGGGGAGTGGTGAGTCCGTGGCATATGAGGATGTCAGCTTGGAAGTGCTGATTGATCCTGCCTGCTTAGACATGTTCTGTTAGTATGTGTGTGTTTGACTGATTCTGTGACTGGAGGAACCCAGCCCAGCCCTGTTGAAACTTAAATCCTGCAGGGTAGCTCCATTGGGGGTTGGGGACTTGCAGAAAGGAGAGATAGAGCTCTATATAGAAACACAAATGACACAAGCAGTACATTGATAGAATTACAGAGACCCCAGAAACGTAACGCTAGTAAATGGCACGCCCCAAAGTGCTGGGCAAATCTAGTAATAATATACCGACAACATTTTATAGAAGCAAGGACAGTGGCTGCCATGGTTCCCCTGCTTTACCTGTGGCAGGTTAGGGTGTTAGGTCTGTGTGGTGTCAGGGTTGATGGTCTTATGTAGAGTTTAGATCATGGTTGTGTGAAGTGGTTTGGACAGGGATGATCCTGCCTCAGGCAGGGTGTTGCACTAAGTGACCTCTGGATGCCTCATCCAGCCCCACTTCTCTATGATTCTTTTGCCCCTAACAGCTGAGTAGTTAAGACACTCACCTGGGAAGCCCATGACCATTTCTAGCCCCTTGCCCACAGAGTGTTTGAATTTGGCTCTCTGGCTTCTTAGTACAGCACTCTAAACACTAAGCCACAGGTCAGGTATCCATTTATACCCTCTCGTGCTTCTTTTGAAACTGGCCCCATAGGCAGCCACAGGAGGGAAGTACGTAGGAGATATGTGGAGCCAGAAGAAAATGAGCCACTCAGAGGATGTGTAGCTCAGTGCAGTGACTGTTCCTCTAACAAGGTAGCGGGGGGTCCTATGTTGTAACCTGGAGCCTTGCTCGGGGTAAGGCAGAAGCTTCCCCTTGCACCGTTATCCATCCATTTTTCTCATGACTAGTAAATACAAGGGGGAGTGGCTCAGGTTCAAAAGGAGACTTTCAGAAAGGTCTGGGTACTGCCTGACCTGTGGCGTAGTAGTTCAACCATTATACTGGTAAATCAAATGCCTTCTGAGCAAAGGGGGCCTGGAATCCAGGTTCTCCTCCTTTCCAGGTGAGTGCCCTAGCTATTCAGCTCCTGAGGGGAAAAAAAGATGGGAAAGATGCTGCCCTCCTCTTCCACCATCTTGTGGCAAGCGTGCATGTCCAGGCTGTGGATATGCACAGGCTTACATATCCAGGAAGAGAATTTTTATCAGCATTTCTGGCACAGACAACAAACAATACCACAGAGATGACCAAACCTTAAGACAGCCAGGAAAGGAATAGACTGCTATCCATGGTGCCTTGACTGAGATAAT